AATAAAACATAAAACAATAAAGAAAGGAAAACTTAAGGGTTGCCTGGGTGGCTCAGTGGGTTAAGCCTCTGCCTTAGGCTCGGATCATGATCTCAGGGTCCTGGGATCGAGCCCTGCATTGGGCTCTCTGCTCAGCGGGGAGCCTGCTTCCCACTCTCTCTGCCTGCCTCTCTGCCTACCTGTGATCTCTCTCTCTCTGTCAAATAAATAAATAAAATCTTTAAAAAAAAAAAAAGAAAAGAAAGGAAAACTTAAAACCCAGAGCCATTATTTATATTTATTATTTTCATCACCTTTCAATATTCACTGGACTATTCATAAAAGCAGATGAAAACTTACTGAAACACAATAGGCCAAAAGTGCAAGAAGGGCTACAAATACTAAATTTCTCAGAAATGCCAAAAACTATCAAAAAACACACAAATGCAAAAAACAAACTAAAATTATAAGAACATATGGTTGCCATAAAAATAAAATTTCAAAACTTATCACCACTAAACCTAGATCATTATCTTACCAAATCTCTGAAAATTTGAATATTTAATAATAATTAATTTCAGAAAAGAGAGTCTTCCAAGTTAACTCAAATTCTTATTAATAGTTGATAAATGGGGACATCTGGGTGGCTCAGTGGGTTAAGCCTCTGCCTTTGGCTCAGGTCATGATCTCAGGGTCCTGGGATCGAGCCTCACATCAGGCTCTGCTCGGCAGGGAGCCTGCTTCCCTCTCTCTCTGCCTGCCTCTCTACCTGCTTGTGATCTCTGTCTATCAAATAAACAAATAAAATTTAAAAAAAATAGTTGATAAATGGAGTAAAGGAAACTCATATATTGTTTTATTATGGAACAAAAGCATATAATAGTTATTTTAAATGAAAATTATATTCAATTATCCTTGCTTTTTAAATGGCAACTTAGATTATTTTAATTAATTTTTAAGTGTGTGACTATAGAGAATCCAAATCTTTTTTTTTTCTTTTTTTTTAAGTGATCTCTACATCCAACGTGGGGCTTGAGCTCATGACCCTGAGATCAAGAGTAGCACATTCTTCCATCTGAGCAGCCAGGTGCCCCTGAGAATCCAAATTTTAAGATGTTATACTTGCTAAAAGAAATAACAACAAATTAACAAATTCTCCTATTTTGATTTTTTCCTCTAGACACCTGGCTATGTTACCCTCTTTATATACTAAAACAAAACCTACTGGGAGAATGACACTTTCCTTGCTTGATCAGCAAAGTTTTATATGGAATTCCAAAATAATCAAATGATTCTCACATTGCATGTACAGTGATTGACATGTAAACTAAGAGCAGGCATTTATTAGCTAATATAACCGTACAGATTTTAAAGTTCAATTGATATTGTTTTCTAGATAAAAGGAAGATGGCAGGGAGAAAAAAATTAGCCTTGGTATTTTTTTATTATGTGCCCCAAATTATGCAATGTACTATACTTAAGTCAACTCTTTTATATACACACATTAAATGTGAGCATAGGTGATTATGATGCTACTATCGCTTAGATTTAGTCCTTTCTGAAAGGCTTCCAGTTCAGTTAAATTCCCCACAAAGCAGGTAATAATGGCAAAGATGTCTCAAATTAATCTATTGCAATGGATCTCAGGCAAACAAATGAAAAGTAGAAACACTAGGAGAAAAACATCAAAATAGGTATTTTGATGTTTTAAGCTGTTCCCCTAGAGGCTAACAAGTAATATCTTCCAGTGACTTTTCTCACTGAAAAACCTACCTTGCTAATTAAGAACACATTTGGTCCAATTACAAGTTCCCACAAGGGAGAAAAAAAAAATAGCTGATAAGCCCTTTTAAAGCTACCAAACCAGATTTCAGTTGTGGTCTAGAGGGTCACTTCACAGAGCAATATTGCCACGAGTAGCAAAAATCAAGCTTGTTAGCCCATGTCTGTGACCAAGGACCACTGTATAGCACACTGCTGCTGCTTTACTTTCAGTTTTCAGCCGTATGATTATTTTTGAGCACACTTTTTTGTTATTGTTTTTTGGCTTCATCCTTTATCGATCTACTGAGCTTCCTAAATCCATAAATGTGTATTTTTTATCCAATGCTGGGAAGCTTTTGGCTATTATGAGTTCATATAATTTTCCTGCAACAATCTCTTTCTCTTCTTCTGGACTCTAATGATATCAACGTTAACCTGCTGATATTGTCCCTCAGGACCCTGAGGCTCTGTCCTTTTTTATTTCCCTCAATTTTTCTCTCTGTTCTTCTCTTTGGATAATTTCTATCAGCTTATCATCAAGTTAACATCAGTTCCATTCCGCTATGCAGCCCATTCAGAGAAATTTTCATTTCAGATATTATATTTTCCAGTTATAAAATCTCCACATGGTTCCTCTTTTACAGTTTTTATTTCTCACTTGAGAATTTCTACCTTTCATTTATTTCAAGTGTGTTTACCTTAAATAGCACATTATAACAGCTGTTTTCAATTACTTGACATTTCCAAAAGCTGAATTATCTCAGGTTTGACACCTGTTAATTCTTTTCCCTTGAGAACTGGGCAGTTTATTGGTTCCTCACATGACAAGTAATTTTAGACTATATCCTAGATATTGTGATGTTACTGTTGTATAGGTTCTGTGTCCTGTGTCCTATATTAATCCTTTGAAGAATACTGATTTTAGCTTGTTTATTTTAGCAGGCATATAACCTAGTTAGTTCAGACTACAATTTGTACCTTCACCTTCCACAGACTGTAGTTGCAATGTCAATTCAGTTCTCAAAGCCTTTATTATGCCATTTTGGGTCTGGTCCCATCAAATGTGCCACTAAGGGGTTACTCTGAGACTTGGGTGCCAGTTTAAATCTTGTTTTCAGCAATCTGGGCCTGTCATTCAAAGCTTGGAGTGACCTTGGGACATATGCAGATGCATACCGAGAATCAGAGGGAACCCTTCTCCAGCTCTCTCTTCTCCAGAATTCCCCTCACACTCTCTGTCCCATAAGGCTCAATTTACCTGATTCTTCAGGCAGAAAAACTTTATTTTAAGGTGTTTCAGGGTTAACACGGCACTATGTCATATGGTTTAATTCAAACGACACTTAGAAGCTGATGAGGGATGAGCTTAGCTGCTCTTCCTCCAAAAGGTAAACTGAAGGCCAGAGAAGACTATCATCATATTGAACAAACACATAAAAACTATCCAAAACCATTATATTCCAATATAATTTTTTACAAGTTCAATTCTGACCTAACAATAAAATATAGTGGACTTAGATACATATAGAGAAAGACAACTGAAACAACTAAAGTCACCCAGGCAGCCCTACTGAAGAAAAACTAGAAGTGTTTAGAAAGATAAAACTTGAAGGGATACATAACACACTACTATGAAATCATGAAAGTAATGCATACAGTAGGTCCCAGATACTCAGATTCACCCAAGCCCCAAATATTCAGACTACAATATATACCTGGAAGCTTGCATTCAGAATAAATAAAATTAACTACTATTTTACACAACAAATGTTTTAAAATGGTAGACTGAAAAGCTTAGAAAATAAAAAAAATTTTTTTTTTTTTAGAAAATAAATTTTTGATAGATATTTCAATTAAATAGTGGAGAGCTGTCCATAATAGTGAATTCAGGAGAGCCAATGAAATTTGGGGCATGCCTACAACCTCTTCTATATCATTAAAAACAAGAATGTCGTGGCGCCTGGGTGGCTCTGTGGGTTAAACCTCTGCCTTTGGCTCTGGTCATGATCTCAGGGTCCTGGGGTCGAGCCCCGCATAGGGCTCTCTGCTCAGCGGGAGGCCTGCCTCCCGTCTCTCTCTGCCTGCCTCTCTACCTACTTGGGATCTCTCTCTAATAAATAAATAAAATCTTAAAAAAACAAACAAACCACGATTGTTCCAACTTATTCCATTAATGTATGGACCCTACATATTACTCAGTATGGTTTTTCTTGCACATGGCCTTATTCTTACGATCTATTTTAAAACCTCAGGAGTCTGAGAGACAAGTACTGGCCAGAAGCTAATAAAACAGCAGTAACTCTTCATTTATTCTACTTCACAGAATCATAGAAGATTAGCAGAACAAATATTTTAAGACTTTTTAATTACCCTGACTCACATAAAGAAATGCCACATACTAAATACATTAAAAGTACAATAATATTTACAAAACTAAAGTTTCATTTTTAGGCTAATAACAAGCCTTAAAAATTTCAAATGGTAAAAGAAACTGAAATAAAATCAATGCCTTACTTGATAAGTCATTTTAAATTCTTTTTTCATCCCCCAGCTTTATTAAAGTATAACTGACAGATAAGATTTTAAATTATTTAAAACATACAACATAATAATCTCATAAATATACACACTGTGAAAGGATTCCCCCACAAAGAATTGACACATCCATCACGTCACATATTTATCATTTTCTTTTTTTAGTGAGCAAATTTAAGTTCTACTCTCTTAGCAAATTTCAATTATATAATACAATGTTATCAACTATAGTCACCATGTTATACATTAGATCTTCAGGCCTTATCATATAACTAATGTTTGTCTTAATTTTTTAATTGCTTTGAAAACCAAGAATTAGCAGAGAAATCCTGCATTTACTATATTTTTTTAATATTTTAATTTTAAGTAGTCTCTAGACCCAGCGTGAGACTTAAACCCACAATCCTGAGATCAAGAGTTGTATGCTCTACCAACTGAGCCAGTCAGGTGCCCACCCTGCATTTACTTTAATACACTGAAAGTATTCTCTAAAGTGGCTACAATGAAAATATAATCCAGGTCTAAAGGGAGAAGAGGAAAAAAATCTCTGACGTTATCACTTCATTTTCACAATACTTTGATGGAACAAAGTACATCATAGAGGGTTATTTATTTGTTAAGTCAACAGTTTAGCATATGAGATATTAAGTTTCATCATAAAAGAAAATCACTTGGAAATACTTCTCCATACAAAAAAGAATAAAAACAACAAATATACATACTCCTTTTGGAAAGCCATACACATGGGAGAACTGAATCCAAAGATAAGGCACATCTGGGCTTCTGGGCTGTAGCCATGCTGGAGTAACATTTCTAGGCACTCCTCATGCCCTCCAAATACTGCTGAGTAAACAGGACTCACTTTGTCTGGCCCAGTGTCACAAACCCGGTTGGTAAGTGGTATTAACAAGTCCAAGATTCTGTAACCACACAAATTCAGGAGCATTTAATGTTTTTACACATACATGAGTGCAGGCGACATTTCTACAGCACATATTTTAAGAGTCACCCACTGATTGATGTAAAGTCTTTGTCTTCTACCTACATTAAATTATTACAGGCTGTACACTCCAAAATGTTACCCTTACTATTGTTGCTTTATACAAAGGTCCTTACATGTATCTAAAACAGAATTTAGTAATTTTACCTTAAGTAAATAGGGAACAGGCTATACTTATTTTTTTCACTATTTATCTTGCTACCACCATCACCCTACTCTTCCCAATTCAAATTTTGTTAGCTATTTCAGGATCTAATAATTAAAAACTTCATTATACCAAATATGAACTTATATCAAGAAAATAATTTCCTTTCTTTTTTTAAAATAAACTTCTCTTTTTAAAATAAACTAAAATTTTATTTTTCTAATTAGTAAGAATTTTTAAGTACAGTGAGTGCCATGAAATGAACAGTATTTTCATAAGGGAGAAATAAGAATTTTTTTTTAAAGATTTTATTTATTTCTTTGAGAAAGAGCACAAGCAAGCGAGGGAACAAGACCGGGGAGGGATGGGGCACAAGCAGGGGGAGGCAGAGGGGCAGAGAGAGAGGGAGAAGCAGACTCCCCACTGAGTAGGGAGCCCAATGTGGAGCTCCATCCCAAGACCCTGAGATCATGACCTGAGCCAAAGGCAGATGCTTAACTGACTAAGCCCACCAGGTGCCCAAGAAATAAAGATTGTTGCTAAAACATTCTATTCTCTGAAAAGAATATGAGCTCTTTATTTTTTTATTATTATTTTTTAAGTTTATTTATTTTTTTGACAGAGAGAGAGAGAAAGACAGCGAGAGAGGGAATACAAGCAGGAGGAATGGGAGAGGGAGAAGCAGGCTCCCCACTTAGCAGGAAGCCCGATGTGGGGCTTGACCCCAGGACCCTAGGATCATGACCTGAACTGAAGGCAGATGCCACCCAGGTGCCCCAGAATATGAGCTCTTTAAACACTAACGTAGATTTATAGAGAAACTGGTAGCTAAATAGAGGAACTTCTTAAGAAAATAATTAAAATCTAAGTTCTTAGATTATTTGTAAACCTACCTCCAGGATTCAGCTGGAAAGGAAGAACTAGTCTACTCTTCTAAAATTAAAAATAAAACTGTAGGGATAAGGTCAACCATGAAATCCCCCCTTTCTGGGAAAAGAAAGGCAGGGCTACTCCAAAGCTCCTTTCCTTTTGTAATGTAGGCTTAAGATGTTAACATTTAAGTAGAACTTAATACTCACGGAAGGGGTTATATTAGAAAACTGTAATGACAAACAGAATTCTCAAAATTGAGGGCAAATCCCAAGTGGGTTTTGGTATCAATTTAAAGCTCCCAGTATAATTGTACCTAACACTTAGGTTTAAATAAATCAAGAATTTTAAGAAAAAATACCTAATCTTAAAACCCAAGTATTCTGTTAAAATAAACAACCTGTTTAATGTCCCTTAATAAATGTGTTTAATTTTTAAAAATGGGTTTGAAAAATTATACAAGGTGCAAAAATACTTACAAATACCTTTGAGGAAATAGTAATATACCGTGCCACCTTGTGGCATAATAACCAAATTACAGAATTTGTTTTCCTACTATGTAATCACACTAAAGTAATGATAATTTCCACTACTACTTTTTAAATTAAATAACAGTAACAACTATAAAACTATTATTTTAGAATTACAACTCTAAAGACTTTAGGCATATATTTTTTTAAAGTATTCATTGCCAATTTATGTTAAGATGGGCTAACCATATTCTCATAGGTATAACCAGGTTATTAGCTTCTAAGATTCCTGGAACCCCCAATTTCAAAGAGTTCCGATTTCTTTAAGTCTTCCTCTCTCCGGAAAACAGCAAAAATTCCATAAGAAGTTCTGGCTAAGAAAGTAGAGTAACAGAAGCAGGGAAGAGTACCAAGCTGGACTTGAGTTTATAAAGAGAAGTCTAGTCAAAGGATTCAAAATGGAGAGAACTACCCAGCCCACACAAAAGAAAGACTCGACCTAAAAGGGGTTACAAATTTAAAAGCTTTCTGGGGTCAGGGAGGTTATCATAAATAAGTTGAATAAGGTCATCAGATGGCTAACTAAGGACACATGGGATAAAACCAGAGCAGAGTAGGAGAGCATGGCCACAGCTTGAGAAACCAGAGGAAAGAGCTAAAGACCTGGAGGATGCCCCGGAACTCTGTCTCTAGCCACTCTGCTCACACTAGGAAAGTCCAAGACTAAAAGGAGCTCAGGATGGCAGAGGGGACAGATACGGGGGTGGATCTAGTCATACAGTAGGTTGGCAGACAAGGCAATACCAAGGATTCTGCCTAGAGATAAAGGGTCTGGCCCAGAAAATTTAGTCCTTATTACCTTTTTTTTTTTATTTTATTTTTTTATTTGACAGAGAGAGGGATCACAAGTAGGCAGAGAGGTAGGTAGAGAGAGAGGGGGAAGCAGGCTCCCCGCTGAGCCGAGAGCCCAATTTGGGGCTTGATCCCAGGACCCTGAGATCATGACCTGAGCCAAAGGCAGAGGCTTAATCCACTGAGCCACCCAGGCACCCCTCCTTATTAACTTTTGATTATGAGACCATTTTTATTTTCTGTTTTAATACTTACTTTGTATGGCCCATTTGTGCAGCTGCATGAATAGGTAACTGCCAATTGTCCTCATTACAGTAAAGATCAGGATCTGCCCCACTGGACAGCAAAAGCTCCACACATTCTGTGTGGCCCTCTTGAGCAGCAATGAACAAGGGAGTAGCTTTGTCCAATGCTTGACAATTGACATTTGCACCTAATACAAAATACAACATTTAACAGACAATCCTAATTCATGGGGGGAAAAAAAGGGTGATGATTAACATAAATTTCAAAACAGCTGTCTTAAAAGGGCTTTAGAGTACAATAGGTTTTCCAATCCCAGTGGATATTGTTGTATAAACATACTGATTTTCCACATTTGCTGGTAATCATTAAAATTGTTTTCACTTTTATGTTAACAAGAAAACAAGTGATTAGTACTTTAGAATTCATTTTTAAGCTAAAACAAAAATCTTATTCAATGAAGGATTCATTTCATTCCAATCTGTCCTCCAGCAAGCACTCTGTGGGCCCAATAAGTAATCACTGAAAAACAAAAAATGCAAACCAACAAATATGGAATGTCTGATTATTACAGAAAAAGATAAGAAAAACCTAAGTTATAAGAATTAATAGATGCCATTAATCAATTCAGGCTGAGGTTTATGAAAAAAATTCCTGTAGATATGATATACCTTGGGGCTATGCCTTAAAACTAATGTTGACTAGGGACACCTGGGTGGCTCAGTCCTTTAAGTGTCTGCCTTCAGCTCAGGTCATGATCCCAGAGCACTGGGATCTAGTCTCTCATCTGCTTCCTTGCTCAGTGGGGAGCCTGGTTTTCCTTCTGGCTGCTGCTCCCCCTCCTTGTGTTCACCCTAACAAATAAATAAATAAAATCTTTAAAAAAAATAAAAACAAAACAAAACAAAAAAACAACGGGACGCCTGGGTGGCTCAGTGGGTTAAGCCTCTGCCTTCAGCTCAGGTCATGATCTCAGGGTCCTGGGATCCAGCCCCATATCTGGCTCTCTGCTCAGCAGGGAGCCTGTTTCCCCTCTCTCTCTGCCTGCTTCTCTGCCTACTTGTGATTTCTCTCTCCGTCAAATAAATAAAATCTTAAAAAAAAAAAAACCCTAATTTTGACTATACTCTTCATTAAGTCCCTTTTTTTGGGACCACTCCATGATAAAACCTTAAAATGAAATGAAAAATGTCTATTTAAATGGGTTTCTGAGCTGATTTTTCAAGAACAAAAACTAATCAATTGTTTAAATGTCAGGGCACTAAGATGTAAAAAAGCTGAAAGTGACCTCACTTTTTAGGAAGGTTTTAAAAATAGCAAAATCTCCCCCAATTTTTCTCATTGACAAACAGCATGTTAAGTATGCTAAGTATGGTGTTAGTACATGACTGAGAATTTTTAAATTTCTGGAATATGTCTCAGAGGAAAAGTCTTTTTCATTACAAGGAAAAAAAATATCTTTTTGAAAGGATGTTCCATAAATGCACCTGGAATAAACCACAGGTCTAACTTAAGCTAAACTATGCAAAACATAAATACTAAGTTAAAGGGTGAGCGGAACGTCGGAAATTCCAACTGGATACTCAACACATCCGGACAAGTAGAATGTTCCTAACTTTTACAAGGTAGATGCTTCACCTACTGAAAGCTTCAGAAAGAGGGGAACACTAATCACTGAGAAAAGATTAAGCTGAGAAAAAAATTTACTTAAGTTTCCTTTTTTTTTTTTTTAAAGATTTTATTTATTGATTTGACAGAGAGAGATCACAAGTAGACAGAGAGGCAGGCAGAGAGAGAGAGAGAGGGAAGCAGGCTCCCTGCTGAGCAGAGAGCCCGATGCGGGACTCGATCCCAGGACCCTGAGATTATGACCTGAGCCGAAGGCAGCGGCTTAACCCACTGAGCCACCCAGGCGCCCCAAGTTTCCTTTTTTTTTAAAGCAGTATTTCATTTTTTTTTTAAGCAGAATTTCATTTTGATTGACAATTTCAAAGTATCAAAAAGAATACGGAACCAGGCCCTATAAAATTATAGGTAGAAAAGTCAGAAAAATGACAGATAATTTACTGAAAGAAAAATCATTTTAACTAGTTAGAAACATATATAGCTACATTATAAACATACCTACATACTTTTTCAACTTGTTGTTCATAACTATTCAGAGAGGAGAGGGGGGGAAAAAAGGAACAAAGCAAAACAAAACAAGTACCTAGCATTCTGGGAGACATGCTAGGCATAGAGATAGTCATTAAGGTGCAGTTTAACCCATTTTTTTTTAAATGACTTTATTTATTTATTTGACAAAGAAATAGAGCACAGGTAGGCAGAGCAGCAGTCAGAGGGAGAAGGAGAAGCAGGCTCCCCACCAAGCAGGGAGCCCGAAGCAGGGTTCGATCCCAGGACCCTAGGATCATGACGTGGGCCAAAGGCAGACACTTAACCAAATGAACCACCCAGGTGCCCCATAACCCATTTTATTCTAAATATTAGTTGCACACTAATAATTGGAACGTATAGGACTGGAAGCCATAAAATAAACTGGGACAGCATCAGGAAGATACCACATAAAAGAAGAGAAGTCACATGAGAAGACCTGATTCCAAGCCCTGATTCTGCCAGTAAATATTTTCTACTTCTTTGGCAAGGCATTTAAATCAGGGGCTGGGATTCTTAATCTAAAAACAATACAAGTTTAAATAAGTGATTTTGGAGATTTCCACTAACTCTAAGATTTACTGACTCAATATTTCTAACGATAGCTTAATTTGGCATTTAATATTTTCTTTCCTCCATACTTCAATTTGAGCATTTGAAGGTTTGTAAGCAGAAAGCAGAAATAAGAAAATATGTGCTTTCTCTGTTTTGTATATTTGGAGGTAACTTTTTAAAAGTAGGTTCCAAACCTGCAACACGGCACTTGAACTCATGACCCTGAGATCAAGAACTGAGCTGAGATCAAGAGTCAGAGGCTTAACCAACTGAGCCACCCAGGTGCCCCTTGGAGGTAATTCATTAAAAACCTAAGTATTATTATAGACATATATAAAAAGCCTAGGTATTAATTTTTTTTTAACCTGGTGGCAAATCTGATATGTTTCCCTTTAGCTCTTAACTATCCATGCTTCATGAGCTTAGTACTGTGAGCCCATACAGTGTTTGAAGGAATCTAAAAGCCCTTACATAACAAACATTTCTGGTCACAAAAATATCATACAGCATAAGAATGCGGCGTCAACACCATCTTTTCCCACAATGCTGAATGTGTGATAATTGTCAGAGAGAAACCATTAGCAGGTTTATGTTGCTATGAACATAATAAAGGGTAAACATGCTTTCAAATAAACCCATTTAAATAAACACACAATTTATCAAAACATACAACTCAAAGGCTTAATATACAAAATAACTATCTAATAAATTAATTAAGTTTATATAGTCTCGTGCCCTAGAAAGCTGGAACTACTCAGGTCCCCATAAGCAAGAACAGACCCATCATTCAACTTGCCAATAAACCTGCTTTAGTGATAGATCATTATGTTCCTCCTCAGATAAATAAGTAGCTGTGCATCACATTATGTTAGTAATAGTTAGTAACCAAGCTTATAAATCAACTTCTATGTAATCTTATTACCACTAACATAAAACCATAAATTTCATAACCTGATTTATATCTGCTCAAGAATTATACTTCCTAAGAAGATACACAGTTAAAACTCAAGATCTTAACAGTGCAAAGGCTAATGGATTAATCTTACCTGATGAAATAAGTATGCTCAAGCTTTCTAGCTTGCCATACTGAGCAGCCACAAATAAAGGTGTGATTCCAAAGTCATCCTGGCATTCCTTGCTTGCTCCTTTTTTAAGAAGCAATTTTATGATCTCAGCATTTTCCTAAAGCACAGATTCGTATTTTAAATAGGAGAAAACAAAGAAAATAGAAGGTGTCTCTATTCTTATTGCTGTGTTTTGGGGTTTTTTTAATCCTCACTAAAGGAAAACTTTTTTTAAGTGTATGGTTCAATAAGAAGGAAGTACTAAACAATCAGATTATTCTATACCTTTAGCTAGCCCATTAAACATAAACAGATGAAACATTGATCTCTAAGAGTCATAATCCTTTTAAAGCCTACAAAACTGGGGCACCTGGGTGGCTCAGTGGGTTAAGGCCTCTGCCTTCGGCTCGGGTCATGATCTCAGGGTTCTGGTATCAAGCCCCACATGCGGCTCTCTGCTCAGCAGGCGAGCTTGCTTCCCTTCCTCTCTCTCTGCCTGCCTCTTTGCCTGCTTGTGATCTCTATCTGTCAAATAAATAAATAAAATCTTAAAAAAAAAAAAAAAAAAAGCCTACAAAACTAGTTTGCTAGCCCAAGCACTAAGGAGTTACCAGTTTCTAAACACACTGCTGTAAATAAAATAAGCCCTGTTCCTTATCAATTTATATCCCAAATATTCTGATGGTCTCTTAACTATGCTATCAACATATGAAAAACCTAGATAATCCCTGAAGCCCAAAGCTGCTGGAACTACCAGAGCAGTTGGCTTATTCAGAATGATCATTAGCATTTAGACTGCCTTTTCTGTACTGCACTAACCATCATAAATCACAGGCAAGTAGGAAGCAAAAACTGTATAGAACTGTCATTTTAAAAGGGTAAAACACATAATTTACATGGAAATGAAATAATAAATTCAGAGGTTACCTGAAAAGTGGCCTGGTGCAAAGCGTTCCATCCACACATAGAATGGGATCCATTAACATTTGCTCCATGTCGAAGCAAAAGCCTTAACACATCTATCTGTCCATTTTCAACAGCTGCAAAACAGCAGTCAAAACAATTATTGTCAGTACAAAGGCATGTTTGTAGGACTGGACACTTTGGTGATATTCTCATCACTTATTCACCCTGCAACTCACAATGCTCTGATCATTCCTATCAAGAAATCAAAACACATACTCCCTATACAATCCCAAAACATTTATCACAATTATCTTAGCCCAGGCCTATTAACATATACTATCGTTCTATGGACAAACAAAATTATTTTCAAACCTATTTAAAAGACACAGACGAAATGGAAACAAGAGGCATACATTTATTCTCTCTGCTAATAAAGACAATGTTTCTGCTTTGTTAAAAATGCAAGTGGGAGAGAGGGGTGAATGCCTCAGAAAAAACAGAAACAGTCTCCAAAGGATTGAGAGTTTTGCTGATTATCTGACCACAAATAACAATAGTCACCGTCAACCTGAAAAAGGAACACTGCAAGTTTTGCATTGTAGATATTTTTTGCCATCACAGACAACAATCATTGTTAAGATGCCGTTTTTGTATCAGTCAATGAAAACATAGTAAAACTCTGTTTATTTGAAAAGAAGACTCCACATAACCTGAAGAGTATTATTAAAGAGCGGCATACCACTTACCTACAGTAACTGAAACTAACGGATCCCAACATGCTGCTAACCTAGATCCTTGAAAGAAGAGTTCGCAGGCCCACAGATACCTAAAAATCCTTTACCCTTTATACTAATTTCACCAAATTATTCTTTCTTTTATGCATCTAACTTAACATGAGCAAAAGATAGGTGTTACCTAATATCAGGTAAATACAACAGTTTATAAATCTTACTTTGTAAGGAAGAACATAGGTATGATGTTACTAAGTTGATACAACACACAAGTGGGACTAAACTTCCCAGAATGTTATCTACTACAAAACTGTGCATTGAAGGTGTCACTGGTTCTGGAGGAGTTAGTGAAAAAACAAACAAACACCAGAACAGAGGTATATAGTACATACTGAAGTAAGTTCACACATAAATACACCATTAGCAAACCAGGTACACTATGAATGACGTTGTTGTGAGGCTACACAAGAAGTAATGACTTCTTGGAATTATAAGTTTGGGGAAATATCAGTATCTATAAGAAAGAAGACAGATGTGTATAAGAAGGTCTGACTTAATGTGCTTGGTAATGAGAAAAGAGATTTGAAAAACAAGTATGATTTTTTAAATTTTATTTATTTAATTATTTTATATATTTATTCCTTCTACTATAGTTGCAGGTAGGAAGTGAAAATTAACAACTCTCAGTCAAAAATTAGAAAGGCGGGGCTCCTGGGTGGCTCAGTGGGTTAAAGCCTCTGCCTTTGGCTCAGGTTGTGATCTCAGGGTCCTGGGATTGAGCCCCGAGTCAGGCTCTCTGCTTGGCGGGGAACCTGCTTCCCTCCCACCCCGCCGCCTGCCTCTCTGCCTGCTTGTGATCTCTCTCTCTGTGTCAAATAAATAAAATCTTAAAAACAAAAAAAATTAGAAAGGCACTAGACTTTTAAACGAAGGGCCACATATGAAAAATGCTAGCATACATAAAACAATAGGAAAGATAAAATATTTTAAAGTAGAAAGCAAGAAACAATAAATGTACTCATTAATATTGAAGATAAATAACACATCAGTAATAGTCTATTAATTTTATATATTGAATTTAAACCAAAGCGCAGTTCCCCCATAAGGACTGTCAAAAGTTTCATGGTCAAGAATTCTCTTATTCAGGGAGGTTTCAAAAATGTGGTGGTTCAGAAACTACTATGGTTGAGAAAGCATTGCTGTAACAGAAGTTTCACCTATCTTATTTCTAAGTTAATGTTCAAGGGCATTTTACCAAGGAAAAAACAACAGCTTTTCAAGCTATTTTTTCTATAATCAATCTAAAGTCAATCTAATTTTGGGTGGAGGTCATAAGAGAAACTGAAGAAACTCTGTTTCATATCCAATTCATACATCATTATCAGTGATTGCGGGCAAAAATCATTCTATAGCCAGACCCTGAGTTGAAGATTATCAGGTTGTCGGCAGTGATATATGAAACAGGGTAAAGATGTTTGTTTTTCATGACTTAGGCTGACCTTAAAAAAATGAAAGTCAAAAAACTCTGTTTTGGTAATTAAATATACTATAGAATACAAAAATTTTTTAACATCATAAATACATTAAGATATATATCTGCAGTTCTTGAAAACATTTCCCAATGGCAAAAGAGTGAAAGCAATACATGAGCAGATAAAGAGCATTTTTATAGTTCTCACTAATTATTTCAATATAAAGCAAATTTAACGGTTAATAATTAAGAAAAGTATACTTAGAGCTTACATCTACTACCAAAGCCTCTCCTTTGGAAAAGGTGGATTAATTTATCTTTCCTGATATAACAAGTTATCAAATTGAGGAGGCAGGGTGCCTAAAATATCAATGTGTGTCATGGTTCAAAAAAGAAAAACAATCAAGACTTAAACTTCCTATTTGCTGGCCTCTTACCCCACCAAGAAAGTATGCTGCTTGAGGAAAGAAACTGTGCCTCATTCTGCTTGTATGCCTAGTGCCAAATGCAGACAGAAGACAGGCAATAAATAATCGTGAGGATGAATGGGGTGAAAAAAGTCTAAAAGGACATAGGATTTTCACTTTTTAAGAACACATCCCCTTTCCAAACTAAACAGGCTTCAGAATTAGACTTCTGGACAGGACAACATAACTGGAACTACATTAGTTTTCCCACCATCAACTACTGCACAAGTGAACAAATAATGTAAGGCAACTTTTTCTGGCATTAAACAATAAGTGAAACACTGTGATTCCTGAGAGAAGGGAAACACATGAGATAAGCCCCATGACCACTTCAGCTCTCTGCCTGGCAATATTTCTTAATTATGGTGCTTTGAGCTGAAGTCCAAGCAGGGCAAGGGTAAGGTTGAGGAAAAGGTACTCCAAGAAAGGAAACAACCCACGCAGAGGACAGCAGTCCACTGAGCTAAGGAGGGAGAAATTAAGAATTTAAGTTGCTGACATCTTGTGTTGCAAGGCCCCAAAGAAAAACATCTATGCAAAGAGGTCCTGGTATGGAAGTTCTCTAAGAGTCTTTGGCTGTGGTCTGCATTGTACATGCCAAAGGCAAGATGAAACTTACTGGAGAACTGCTAAAGGATTTAAGAATGGAATAAAGGGGTACCTGGGTGGCTCAGTCTTCAGGTAAACCGTATGCCTTCAGCTCAGGTCATAATCCGTCAGGCATTCTGCTTCTCCCTCTTCCCCTGTTCTCTCTCTCTCAAATAAATAAATAAAATCTTAAAAAAAAAAAAAAAAAAAAGGCTGGAACAGAGATACCTAGAGGTCAAACAGTGCTGAGGACAATGGAAATTCTAGGGTCAGTCACAACGGTGAAACAATAAAATACCTCATTAGCACTTTGGGCATCCAGCTAAGACACCCCAAAGGCCAAGCCCTGGGTGTAGAAACCATATCTGAGAGTAATACCTACTCTAGATCTGCTCTAAGGAACCCTAAAATAAGCCCTACAAGATGGGGAAGAGGGCAAAGGTTGGGAGGTAGGAGTCCTCTAAATTAGATGCACTCAGAAACACCTTAAGCTCTCCACAGATACAGTCTAACGAAGCATAAGACCAAACCTAAACAAGCTAAAGGTAATATGTCAGTAAATGAATTATCAGAAAAAAGAAAAAACATATCAACATTTCTCATCTGAAGATAACAGAATTCAAATCTTTCTAACATACTATCTACCAAGTCCAGTACACAAGTCAGAAAGCAATCAGCAGAAACTGATCCCAAGATGGCCTGGATGTTGGATTTAACAGATGAACTAAAGAAACTAGTATAAATATGCTTTAAAAAATTAAGGGAAGGGGGCGTCTGGGTGGCTCAGTAGGTTAAGCCTCTGCCTTCGGCTCAGGTCATGATCCCAGGGTCCTAGGATGGAGCCCCGCATCGGGCTCTCTGCTCGGCAGGGAGCCTGCTTCTCCCCTCTCTCTCTGCCTGCCTCTCTGACTACTTGTGATCTTTGTCTGTTAAATAAATAAATAATATCTTTAAAAAAATTTTAAGAGAAATATGTTCAAAGACTTTACTTTCAATATATATGGTATATAGATAGATACCCAGAGAAAACGTCAGCAGAAAAATGAAGTTATTAAGGAAAAAAAAATTCTAGAACTGAAAAAAAGAAATGGATGGGCTTAACAGAAGATGAGATACAGGAGAAGAGTCAGTGAACTTGAATCAATATAAATCATCCAATTAAAGAACTGAGAGAGTACGGCGCCTGGCTGGCTCAATCAGAATAGTACGCAATTCTGGATCTTGGGGTGCTGAGTTTGAGCCTCACGATGGGTGTAGAGATTACTTAAATAAAAACAAAGAAGGAACTGAGGAAAAAAAGACTGCTGGAAAATTAACTGTGCATCGGGAACCTGTGGGTCAAAATCACATAGTCCAACACACATGCAATTAAAAGTCGCAAAGGAAAAGAGAGTAAGAATGGGATAGAAAAAATATATTCTAAGAAATAATGGCTGAAATATTACAAAGTTTGATTTTAAAAACAAAAAGAAAGGCCACATTGACGTAGAGATCCCAGAAAATCAGCAAACCAGTGCTTTAAAAGAAGTCACTATACTTCTTATGATTTCACATTATATGTAAATTAATGATGATTATATGAACCTACCTGACAGTTCTGTGGAAGAATTTCCATGTTTATAAAAGGGGCAAAAAAACCAGCCACTGAAATCAACTTAACAGCTTAATAGCAATTTAATTTTTTTTCAGGGCTCCTACGTACACTTAAAATCTACCATTTCACCATATCCTTCAAGATTCTACAATAATAAATTAATTAATCCAGTCATTCAACAGTACCAGGGATTGCACCAAACACAAGGGTTATTAGCAGTCAACTCAAGAGACACGGTATTTGCCTTCATGGAACTTCCCTTCTAGTCAGAGGGATGGATAAT